GAGCCACCGCGCCCGGCCAAGTTTTTGTATTTTTAATAGAGATGGGGTCTCACTGTGTTAGCTAGGATGGTGTTGATCTCCTGACCTTGTGATCCACCCGCCTCGGCCTCCCTAAGTGCTGGGATTACAGGTATGAGCCACCGCACCCAGCCAGAAAAAAAATTTTTAAATAAAGTTTATCATAAAACATTTAAAACAACCCAAAAGTTAAAAAGAATAATACAAACATCTTACTCCTACAATCTAGTTTATGGAATAAAGCATTGCCAAAACAGTTGAAGGTCTCTTTCCCCAAATCACAAGCTCCCTCCCTTCTCCCCAAAGGTAATAACCAGTTCCCTACCTCTGGGAATGTATTATCACCTTGCACTATTTTTTTTTTCTTTTTTTTTTTTTTTTTTTTGAGACAGGGTCTCACTCTTTCACCCAAGCTGAATGTTGTGGTACCATCTTGGTTCACTGTAGCCTCCATCTCCTGGACTCAATCGATCCTCCCACCTCAGCCTCCCAAGTAGCTGGGACTACAGGCATGCACCACCACGTCCAGCTAATGCTTCTAATTTTGTAGAGATGGGGTTTTGTCATGTTGGCCAGGCTAGTCTCAAACTCCTGGGCTCAAGTGATGCTCCCTCCTTGGCTTCCCAAAGTGCTGGGATTATGGGTGTGAACTACCACACCCTACTCCATCCTGTACTTCTTTGTACTTTTACTACATGTGTATGCATCCATAATCGGGAGATAGTATTTTTTCCATATGTAAGTATATCTGTTATTTAACCCAGTCTCCTAATAATCCAATCTAGGAGTATCTCTGTTTAGAGATTAGTTTTAGAGGGTGTAATAACTTGACCAAGGTTTCTAGATAAGTTAAGCTCAAGGCTGATTCCCAAGTCAATGCTTTTAACCATTGTTCTCTATATTCCTCTGGCCGTGACATTGATGCCCCACGGACTTATTAGTTATCTGATTCCCTTTCCATGCTACATGTCAAACTGCCCCTGAGAAGAGACTAAATATGACCTTTCACCCTCCCCCTAAAACTCTTAATATCTTGCACCCAACAGGAGCGTGATCTGTCTTTATTCAGAGATACTTCCTTCCATTCCCCCTAAGCAGTCTCATTAGATGGGGAAACTGCCAGAAACTCACTTCGAGGAAGAGAAGGGTGGGACCTTGCCTGATTTCGTTAATAGCTTGCAGCAACTTTTAATTATCCAAGTGTCAGCTTTACTGGAAAGGATGAAGCATGCAACCCTCAGGCTCCAAGATGGTGATGGTGTGTGTATGTTGTGTGGGGGATGGGAGATATTAGAGAAAAGGGGAACCTCAGAAAATCAGCCCCCCAGAACCAAGACATCCTTCCTTCCTCTTTATAGCCACATGGGGGCTAAGCTGAGATATGGGATCTAGTCTAAGCTTAAGGGTAGACACACACCAGAACCCAATGAGGGGTGAGGGGTATTGTGGTCTGCGCCCTCCAGCAACCTGGAGGGTGCATGTGGGCCAGTGTCCAAAGGGTGTGTGGATGCACCGAGGGTTGGGAGCAGGATGACCCCCAGGGAGGGAGTATTATAACTGTGGATATTTATAAAGAAACAAGAAACCAACATTTACCAATACTTAATATATGAATTGACAATGGCACTCCAGTGTGCTTTCAAAATATCAGGATGTATCCAGGCCACATGTACAAAGTGGATTCATGGGCCTTGCCATCCAGTTTAAACTAAACTCTTACAAAATGGACAAAGGGCCTATTAAACAGATCCCTGCAAAGAAACCATGGACTAAACATACTAATTATCCAAGAATAAGCAGTAAGAAAATGGCAGAGCTAACATTTCACCTACTCCCAATATTAGCCCTTTGTCAGACACATCAGAGGGGGAAACCTTAAGTCAAACACATATTTCTACCCATCCACTGTTGTGTGTGTGTGTTTTAAGTGGGGTTACCTGTTGCCCAGGCTGGAGTGCAATAGCGTGATCATAACTCACTGCAACCTTGGAGCTCCTGGGTTCAAGCTATCCTCTTGCCTCAGCCTCCTGCATAGCTAGGACTACAAGATGTGTGTCCCAACGCTCAGCGAATTTTTACTTATTTTTTGTAGACTGGGTCTTATCTGGCCACGACTTTAATATCAACACACCGATCTATATTTTTTCTATGCTGCATAATAAATTATACTATTGTTAAAGACTAGGCCGGGCGTGGTGGCTCATGCCTGTAATCCCAGCACTTCGGGAGGCCAAGGCAGGCAGATCATTTGAGGTCAGGAGTTCCAGACCAGCCTGGCCAGCATGGCAAAACCTCGTATCTACTAATAAAAAATTAGCCGGCGTGGGGCGCATGCCTGTAATCCCTTCTCAGGAGACTGAGACAGGAGAATCACTTAAAACCTGGCAGGCAGAGTTTACAATGAGCCTAGATTGTGCCACTGCACCCCAGTCTAGGCGACAGAGCAAGACTCCGTCTCAAAAAAAAAAGAAAGAAAAATAAAGGCTGCCGAGCGCGCGGTGACTCACGCCTGTAATCCTAGCACTTTGGGTGGCTCAGGGAGGTGGTTCACAAGGTCAAGGATTTGAGACCAGCCTGGCCAACATGGTGAAACCGTCTCTACTAAAATACAAAAATTAGCCAGCTGTGGCAGCAGGTGCCTGTAATCCCAGCTACTTGGGAGGCTGAGGCAGAATTGCTTGAAGTGAAAGTTGCAGTGAACTGAGATGGTGCCACTGGCAGTGGTATGCCAGCTGGTCCAGCCTGAGTGACAGAGACTCAGTCTCAAAAAAAAAACAAAAACTCAACTTCACACTAAAGGTGAAGGAAACTTGAATCAGGAACCGAGAGTAATATAGGCAATAGTTTTTCAATAAACTTAACATGTTCCAAGGGGACATGCTCAAAATGTTTTACTATCAGTGGGAGAAAACTGATAAAAGCTTCGGTGGTTAGTTTGGTAATAGGTATGTATTTGTTATCTCTAAATCAACCCTGTCCAATAGAACCTTCTGCAATAATATCTTATGTGAGGTGGCCACTAGCCACAAATGGCTATTGAACACTTGAAAATTGTCACCATGTATCCTATTTGCATAGCTTTAAAATTTTAATTTGGAAAAGGTTATTTTATTAGGTCCCCCATGCCAGATATTGCCCAAATCTTGACAATACTGGTCCTACCCCTTGACCATACATTCGTTTCGGGAAGGTGACTATCCCAGAAATCCTAATGGTGAAGGAAGGCAGATTTAGGCTGAAAATTCCTTTCTCCTCCTCCAATTCTTTGGCACTTACCAAATGCTCAATAAATGCAGGTTAGCAATGCCTCTGCATAGACGACGATTGGAAGCCATGAGTTAAGACAAAAGGTTTTTATTCAAAAAACGCCAAGTATAAAAAAAAAAAAATAAGATCTCTTTTATTCCCCTGTACAGTATTTCACTCAGATAAAACCAGCAGGCTACCTGCTGCTCAAAACACAGCCCCAGAGAGGATCTGGAAGGCACACCATCCAGAACTGCTTTTCATAATTATGCTATATACACAGTCAGCAATGCCCCTCCCCACCACCCACGGAGCCGGGACCCACCTGGGTAAGCAGGTGAGGGGCCCCACAGAAGTCAGGGAGCTGCAGCACTGTCCCGCCTGAGTCCCGTCACCCCACAAACAGAGCAAGCGTCGCAGCCCTCCCCCAAAAGGTCCCCAAGTCAGAGGAGGAAAGGAGGAAAGAAAACTAGGGCAGCAGCTATGGAAGCTTGGAACAGGAAGGGAACCAAATAAATAAATAAATAAATACATAACATTGACCTCCAGGTTAGAATGCGCATCTTTCAAAACAAGAAACAAAAACAGGTAAAATAACTTAAAGGCAAAATTTCTTAAAAATTAGATCAACTACATCTTTTGTATACTACCATGCCAACTGTACACACATTTTACAGCTTTTCTGTTGATTTGCATTGTTTGTGCATTTTGTTGTGTGTGAGGTCTTGGCTTTGAAACAGTAAGTAAAAACCAAAAAGGAAGACCAGTTCACTCGGAGTTTACTAAAGGAGGCAGAAAAAAGGGCAGTGGCTCAGCGTTTGCCTGTAGCCTCTTCCATGGCACCTTTCATATGAAGGAGGGGTGAGGGAGGACGGGAGAGAAAAATAGGGAACCAAACCCAGGCAGATTTTTGGAGAAGCAGCAGGTAAAAGAGGCAAGTTCAAGTATTTCTCCAGCACAGCCGGAGTCCCCACAGAAGGCACTCAGAAGAGTCGGAAGAGGTGACAGGGACTTAAAATGGTGCTAGTCCTATCCCAACCCAACCTGTTTCCCCCCTACCTGACCCATCGCGGCATTCAGCAGAACTCGTGATAAGGAAACAGCTCCATGGTAGGGTTCTGACCCACCCCCACCCCCCACCCCGGGATATTTCAATGAGTCCAGCAATGCTGGACACCTATGAGAAGGAGAGAGTATCTATGGAGGAGTTGAGGCCTAGGACCCCTGGAGAGTCTCTCTTCCCCACTGTTGAGAGGCAGCCTCCAGGGCCTGGGGTCTGGAATGAGTTGTAAATGTTGTTCCTGTATCAAGCACTGTCCTGCTTGGCGAGAAGTGTCACTGGTACTCGGGAAGCTGGAGACAGAAGCTTCCCCTCCCTCGGGCATCTGACAGAGAGGGGAGGACCTGCCCAGAAAGGCTGCTATTTGCCTGGGCCCTGGTTGACAGCTGTGGAGGTGGATCCCAGCAGTTTCTTGGGGCAGGAGAACATCTTGCATCCATGATGGTTCTGGATTTCTTCGAAGGTTGCCTATCTGATGGTCCAGGGCCAAGCACCATCTAATGAGATGCTGACACTCTGCAAGAAAGGAGGATAGACAGAGGTTATGAATGACTCAACTGTTTTTTACGCTGCAAAGGTCTTCCCCATTTGCTTCTCAAGGCCCACAAGTCTGGGGTCCCAGGGAGCGCCAAGCACTTTCTAGAACACTGTGCTGGGTAACCCTTCAATGGAAGGTATTGACTAATATCTGGGTCCTTCAGTCTGCTTTCAGCTAAAGACAGACTCTCTTAAACCTGTGGTTTTCAAACTTCAATAGTGGGGGCCTTTCCCACAACACCCACTCACCAGAAATAGGAAGGATGATGACAATAGATTTTGATGAGACACCACTGAGCATGATGAGATGATTCAACTCACCTACCAACTTACAAACATGAACACCACCCACATTGAGGTCACTGGTACCGAAATATTTGGAGGTGCTGACTTAAAGGAGATGCTAAAAGAGCTTTTAACTTTTTACTCCTTGGCAAAACAGCCAGGAGTTATCAGGTTTCTGCTGGTACCTTTAACAAACTTTCTGGGGAAGCCAGATTGTCTTTTCTTCTTAATAGGCTCACACATGCTCTTCCTCTGACCTCTTAAGGAAAGCTCAAGTGCAAACCACGTGATTTATGAGGCCAGCTCTCAAATGCAAATCACTCACCTACAATTCTAAGCCAAGGGTCAGGGCATCTACTGGAGAGTGAAGTTCTCCAGAATTTCAGACTGTCACATGAAGACTAATAGCCCCATGGAGACCAATAACCCCATGGCCAGGGGCTTCCATCAGTTACCTGAAGAGACCCTCTGCCTGAAGAAAACTTGGCCCCTGATGATCTCTTCATCATGCTCGAAAGGAATATCTCCACACACCATATCATACAACAGGATCCCCAGGGACCAAACTGCCGCCGACCTGCCATGGTAGCGATGGTAGCGGATCCACTCTGGAGGGCTATACACTCGGGTCCCTGTGAGCCAAGGGAATAGAAAACACACTTTTAGCAAAAACAAGTACAAAGCAACCAGATAATATATATGACTCTTTTTAAAAAAAAAATCCTTCTCTCAGGAGCTGGGTGAAGTCCATTTTTCTCCCTGGGCTAAGGAGAGTGGAGGCGCAGCTTATGGCATCTCTCCAACCCAAAGCATTACCTACCACTCTGCTAGCCCAAACCATAAACAAATTCTTTACAAACTGCTCCAAGAAACAAACACAGCTGGCCGCAGACCCAAAACCTGAGGCTCTGTGAGGCAGGGCCGCCTGCAAAAGGATGAAGGGATGCATGTCTGCACAACCAAGAAAGGTATCCCATAGACTATCCATCCTTACACTGCATTCACCACAGCCCAGGTGAGATTCTCATGGCCCACAGGATCCAAGCAAGGATGCTTGCACAACATCCTAAGTCAAGGATGCCCTTTGGGAGGCCTTCCTCCCCACCCGATGCGCGCAGGAGCAGACACCCACACCCTTTCCTCCCTAGACTGGAAAGGTAGACAGAGCTGCAGGGTTGGTTTCAGACCACGTGATTCCTGTTTACAAACTTTGGATAGTAAAAGATATAGGAGGGGCCATGCCGCTGGTGCTCACCAGGGGGCAGCAAAGACTTGAAGGAAAAAACATGGGAGGACCCGGCCAGCCATTAACTGTTAAATACAAAAAATGCAGCCCAACCCAGCGTCCTCCAAGGGCAAATAAACATAAACCACAAGCCCGAGTCACAAGTTTTGAAAGGCTGTCGTTTGTTAGGTTAAGCCGCTCAAATGATGACCCACCCTCCGCAGCTTTGATCTCAGGCTCTCCATTCCTTCTTTTCAGAAAGAACCCGCTCCAAGCCCCTCCCTAGGATAGGTTTTCATCCTCTCTGCGGAGACACCCAACTAATTTTCAAACCAACGACAGATCTTATTTCACAACATTCATTCCTGACTCTCACCCCATAACACTAAAAAAAAAAAAAAAAAAAAAAAAAAGGCCACCAGTAATAATAGTTCCTATTCCCTAACCTTCCCTAGATCAGAAAGGAGGAAAGAACTGCAGCTCTAAAACTACCATACAGAAAACTAACTCCCTTATAAAACAAAACAAAAATTACAAAACCCGCATCAATTTCCACCTCTTCCCCCGCCCCCATCCTTTTACTGGCGGGGAAACTGGGTCAGACTTTAGAAAAATCTGGGCTACCGCCGGTTGCCCACAACCTCTTATTCATCGGGAAAGCTTGGAACTCACTGAATTCCACTTGAAGAATAAAATCATGCCAAAAACATTACAGGTTCAGCTGGCTGAAAATCCCCGGCTTTACTACGCTGGGAGGCTCTCCTGCGTCCCTCCCCGGCTAGCATCGAGCCAGGCGGCCCAATGACCTTTACAAAAGGCTGGCGCGGGAGACTGGCCGAGGCCTCGGGGCTGGGCCGGGCCGAGTCACCTGGGCAGCTCCCTCCCGGGCCTGGCTCACCATCGAAATCCGTGTAGACGGTGTCCTTGAGCAGCGCCCCCGACCCGAAGTCGATGAGCTTGAGCTCGCCGCGATTGAGGTCGATGAGGATGTTTTCGTCCTTGATGTCGCGGTGGAGCACCCCGCAGTTGTGGCAGTGTCGCACGGCCTCCAGCACCTGCCAGAAGAAGCTGCGGGCCAGCTCCTCTTGCAGGGCCCCCCTTTCTGTGATGAAGTCGAAGAGATCTTGCACCGGCTCGGGTCTCTCCAGGATCAGGACAAAACTGTCGGGCCTCTCGAACCAGTCCAGGAGCCTAATGACGCCGGAGAAGCCCGAGCTCACCTTCTTCAGCAGGACCACTTCCATGGGCACTCGGGTGCCATTGGGCTGCAGGGGCGAGGGGGCCGCGTTACGGCGGGAGTCGGGGTCGCCCCTCACCCCACCCACTCATTCTGGGGGTCGCTCCTGCAGGACACTCACCAGCTCTCCCCAGTCGGAAATCCGGTCCTTCTCCACGTGTTTGATGGCCACCTGGAAGCCCCAGAGTCTCCGTCAGGTCCCCTCGCCTGGGTTAATGCACGCCCGTGCGCCCCCCGCCCGGCGCGCCCTCCCCACCGCGGGGCGCCCACTCACCGGCAAGTTGTCGGAGACGCGGATGCCTGAGTAGACCGAGCCGAAGCCGCCGCTGCCCAATAGGGGCCCACCTGGTACTGCGACTCCAGGGGCTCCTTCTCCTTGCCTAGGAAAGGGGGAGAGGCACGGGGACTCAGTGCCGGCCCGCGAGCCGCCAGCTCCCCACCCAGCAGATCCCGCCGCCGCCCGCATCCCCGGGCCGGAGGCGGGAGGGTGCTCTCACCGGGCGCCAGCTTGGTGGCGTGCAGGTCGTTGCAGGGCGCGGCGCGCAGGTGGGCAAGCGAGTTGATTTTGGATAAGAGCATCCCAACCTCCAGGATGTCGGCGCAGGGACGGTGCCCCGAGGAGCTGCAGCAGGAGCCGGAGCCGGGGCTGTGCCGATGACTATGCCTGGGGCTGTGGCTGTGGCTGCGGGTGGCGTTGCGGCTGTGGCTGCGGCTGGCGCGGAAGGCCGAGGGCGAGTCGGAGGACAACTGAGGGCGCTGCCGGGACTGGCGGCGGGAGGGCGCGCCAGCGGGGTCGGGCAGCGCTGAGAGCGGCGGGGTGAGTGGCTCGTGGGGCTTGTGCGGCAGCGCCGCGGGGCAGGAAGCTCGTGGCTGCTGTTGCTGCTGCTGCTGCGGGTCCCGCCGCCGCCGCCGCCGCCGCCGCCGCTGCCACAGACTCCTCTCGGGCCTCCTCCGCCACCGCGGCCGCTGCAGCAGACGCCCGGCTCGCCCCGCAGCCAGGAGTAAAGGGGAGGAGCGCGCCGGCGGGGAGGGCGCGCGGGGAGGGCGCGGCGGGCGGGGACGGGGCGGGGCCTCTCCGGGAGGCCAAGGCGGGGAGCAGGGCTGCCGGGCCGGCAGAGGGAGGAGAGGGGGTGGGGAAGCGGCGGGACGGGGCGACTCCCCTCGGCCCCCGCCCCGCGCGCTCCGTGGCCGCGCCCCGGCCCCGCCCCCGCCGGCGCGTCTCCACCAACCAGAGGCCGACTGATCTGCATAACTCGGCGCGCCCCGCCCCCGCCCCGCCCCGCTCTCGCGGTCAGAATGGTCTCTACGCCGCCACGACGTGGCGGGAAGGAAAAGGCGCCAAAATGGAGGGGGAGGGGCGCGGGGCGTGAGGGGAGGCGGGAGCTGGGTGTAGGGCCGCGAGGGAGGAAGGATGGGGAGGGGCGTATCGATTCAAACCCAAACAATAACAAAGCCATCAAAGGCCGCCCGAGGCCGGCTCTGCGGCTCTCTGTTTCGCGGAGGTTTTTGGGTCAAGGGCTCGAGCCGAAGCATAACAAGTTGCGCGGAGACGACGGGCGTTGGTGTGTCAGGCGGGGAGGCTGGCGCGCCGGGTGTGGGACTGTGTGTGGGGATGCCGACGAGGGTGGTCTTTCTGTGTGACTCAGACCCGAGACCTCCAAGTCGGCTGGGGCGGGCTGACGTCGCGCTGTAGGCTGGGGGCGGATTCTGGGGGTTTGTGTGTTGGGGGGCGCGTCGGGGGCGAAGGATCCGCAGGACATGAGTCACGGAGGGAGTGGAGGAGTCAGGCCTGGAACAGAACTGGAGGCGGGAGCCCCGCTCCTGCGGGAAAGGGATGCAGCCCTCGTCGCTCCGGCCGGCTAAAAGCTCAGCCGCAGGATTCCCATTTTAGAAATGCAAAAAGGCACCAGCGAATCCTGATTCCTGGGAAGGGATGTGTGTCAAAGGGCCGGGTAAAGAGGAAATCACGAAGCAAATGTTGGTGTTGTGATGCCAGATGCTGCCTCAGCCCCTTCTGTGAGGGCGGAAAATTCCTCATCTAAAACGAGGGTGGGAGAGTGCGCTTGACTTCACCAGTTTTCACGTTGTAGTCACCTTTTCATCAGCCTGTTATTACCGGGAAGGCAATACCAGCAATTATTGGCCAACCCGAAGTCTTGTCTCAAAGGAAACCCCCCACCCTCTGCCTCCCTTGGAAATAACCCGGAACACTGACCAACTCCACTTGCATCCTTTGTCCTTTTAAACTTCATGTAGAGTTGATAACGACGTGTGAAATGAGTAAATTAAAATACTATATAATCCATAAATTGAATTGTCAGTGGCCTAAGTAATTGAAAGCTAACTACATTATATTTTAATTTTTTCAAGTGCCTGCCTGCCATTTAAAGGAAAAATTAGGATCCCTATAGCTCGTCGTTAGTGAATTTAAATGTTTCCTTTAAGAGTTTTCTACAGTGCTTGCTTTATAAAAGTGCCCAGATCCTCCACAACTTTTATGAATTTATCCTACGAAATATTACATATTTTCCTTTTGTTTGTGTACTGTGACCGAACTCATTCATTTTTTATGACTAGGAGAAAACCCAAGGGAACCAGAATTACTCCCTTTTTGCAGATAGGAAAATGAAACATAAGTAGGATGGCACAGGGTCATACAGCAGCTAAGAGAGGAGATGAAATGACCCAAATTCAACTCCTGAGTATTCAAAGCTTTCTGCTTTTCAGGGTCTAAAACTGTCCTTGGCACTGAACAAGACATCACTAAATGTATGTGATTCCCACTTCCATCCCTACTACCCTCCCTTTCCTTTCTCAAACCCTCAGATGTAGTCAGACAGAACTATTCCCACTTGTTCCCACTCACCTAGCACTTGACAGACCCTTTGCCTTTGCAGAAGCAATAAACCTGTCCTGGGAGTGCCCTCTCTACCTCTCCACTTTTATTCAAAGCCTTTCCACCCTTTAGGAAACAATTGTAGTTCTACCACAGATTGATGAACAAACTCAGAGCATTGGTTCACTGCCTACTAATCTGACAATCGGGATTTTTTTTTTAAATCCTTTTTGTTAATTTACTTTTCCATTATACTTTGTCTTCCTATTCCTTGAATGCATACTCTTTTTTTTTTTTTTTTGAGAGGGAGTCTTGCCCTGTTGCCCAGGCTGGAGCGCAATGGTGTGATCTCGGCTCACAGCAACCTCCACCTCCCGGGTTCAAACGATTGATTCTCCTGTCTCAGCCTCCCAAGTAGCTGGGATTACAGGTGCCTGCCACCATGCCCAGATAATTCTTGTATTTTTAGTAGAGACGGGATTTTACCATGTTGGCCAGGCTGGTCTCGAACTCCTGACGTCATGATCCGCCTGCCTCGGCCTCCCAAAGTGCTGGGATTACAAGTGTGAGCCACCGTGCCCAGCCTCCTCAAATGCATACTTTATCCAACATTTGTTGATAAAAGAGACTATAATGGATCCCAACAAAAAGACCATAATTAAAGTCAATTTATACTAAATTTAAATGAATTAAGTGGGCTTAGGGAACATAAAGGTTGAGGGCAAGGGCTTTAAACTGAGTTAGCCTGGTTTCAATTCTGGAACCTGGCAGCTACTTGTTATGTGGCATTGGTCAAGTTAACCTTATTAAGCTTTAGACAGAATGGAGATAATAACAGCACCTACCTCATAGGGTTGTTGTAAGGAGCAAATAAAACTCTTGTTTGTAAAGCGTATAACCCAGTACAGAGTAAACTTCTAATAAATATTAGCAATGATAATGGCAATAATGTTGGTCGTGGTTATGACGATGATGTTTTTCCAAATGGTCTTATGCCTTGAAGGTATCAAAGGTAAAATACTGGATTAATAGTTGGATTTTTAACCATTTGGGGAGAGATGTGATTTAAAATAGTTGTTTCTAGTAGGTCTTTTAGGCCTTTTAGGAAAAAAAAATCAAGTTCAACCTTTTTCACTTTTTCTAGGTCTTTGAAGGACTAAATATTTAATTAGTTAGAGCTAAAGTGATTAACATTTAATCTATGTACTTTATATGGTGGGGGCTTCACAGCTGGAAGTTACAAAACATGGACTTTGCTTGGCATACAGCTTTGATTTACTTAAAATTGCTTTAAAAGATAATTAATAAACATTCAGATGTGTTGTGGGTCAAAAGTTACTCCTCGAGAGCAGGGAACTTGATGTTTTGATTGATCGAAATATAGTCTTAATAAAATTTAGCACTATTTGTGCTATCTCAAAGAATCTAACAAAGAATCAGAAAAATCACCCTAATAATTAAATGACAAGTGCTTTTGGAAAGATAAAAGGCCATAATCATGCTAACATTTCTCTGGGAAGAGGAGCATTTATTAATATTAATTTGAACAATATCCAAATTAATCCTTAGGTGGTTTTCATCTTCTGCCTGATACGCGTTTAATCAAGTCATTGTCAAAGGAATAACTTCATCCAGGGACTCTATGTTTATGCAAAAAAAAAAAAAAAAAAAAAAGCAATGACTTCAGCAATTTCTCTAGTCACGGAATTTTTTTAAAAAACAAGTTTAGAAGAAAGTTTGAAAGGGATATCTGTACACAGTTTTTTAAAGTGTCTGTAAGTCTAGTCAATGCATTTATATAACTAGGATTGTATAACTAAGACTCTATATGCTATTTATAATTAATCAGGTAGAGACATATTGAGTCTATATCACTCATTTATCTCCTAAAAAAAAAGTACTTAGTTTTTTATTCATTTTATTTAGTTTATTTGTTTTTGAGACAGAGTCCCACTCTGTCACCCAGGCTGGAGTGCAGTGGTGTGATCTCAGGTCACTGCAGCCTACCACTCCCGGGTTCACGCCATTCTCCTGCCTCAGCCTCCCGAGTAGCTGGGATTACAGGTGCCCGCCACCACCCCCGACTAATTTTTGTATTTTTAGTAGACACGGGGTTTCATCAGGTTGGCCAGGCTGGTCTCAAACTCCTGACCTCAAGTGATCCGCCCGCCTCAGCCTCCGAAAGTGCTGGGATTACAGGCATGAGCCACTGTGCCCAGCCAGACAGGAAACATTCTAAATTTAAAAAGACTAAACTAAGCCCACCAGGCATGGTGGCTCACGACTGTAATCCCAGCACTTTGTGAGGCCAAGGCAGGAGGATTGCTTGAGCTCAGGAGAGCAGCCTGGGCAGCATAGGGAAACCCTGTCTTTACAAAACAAAACAAAAACTGACTCTTTCTTTTTTTGTTTTAATTTTCATTTATTTATTTTTGAGACAAAGTCTGACTCTGGTCGCCCAGGCTTGGAGTGCAGTGGCACGATGTATCACGGCGCACTGCAGCCTAGACCTCCTGCGCTCATGCCATCCTGCTGCCTGAGCCTCCCACCTAGCTGGAATTACAGGGGTGAGCCACCATGCCGGGCTAATTTTCACATTTTTTGTAGAGATGAGGTTTACCATGTTGCCAAGGCTGTTCTCAAACTCCTGGGTTCAGGTGATCCATCAGTCTTGGCCTCCCAAAATGCTGTGTTTGTTGTTGTTTGAGATGGAGTCTTGCTCTACCTACCAGGCAGAAGTGCAGTGGCGCAATCTCGGCTCACTGCAACCTCTGCCTCCCGGGTGCAAGCGATTCTCCCTGCCTCACCCTCCGGTGTAGCTGGGATTACTGGCGCCTGCCACCACACCCGGCTAATTTTTGTATTTTTAGTAGAGACGGATTTTCACCATGTTGGTGGGGCTGCCCTCAAACTCCTGACCTCAGGTGATCCACCCGCCTAGGCCTGCCAAAGTGCTAAGATTACAGAGATTACAGGCGTGAACCGCCGCGCCCGGCCCAAAGTACTGGTATTACAGGCATAAACCACTAAACCCAGCCGAAAACCTTTTTAAATTGAAATCATTGTGGTAGTGGGAGACACTTAGGATATCCACCATGTCCCAATTTCAGAATGATCAGGGAATCTATGTAATCTATGTAGTCATTAGAACTAGAACTAGTTCTTGTCTTTTTTTTTTTTTTTGAGACGGAGTCTAGCTCTATAGCCCAAGCTGGAGTGTGGGGGTGCGATCTCGGCTCACTGCAACCTCCACCTCCGGGGTTCAAGCAATTCTCCTGCCTCAGCCTCCCGAGTAGCTGGGACTACAGGCGCCCGCCACCATACCGGGCTAATTTTTTGTATTTTAGTAGAGACGGGGTTTCATCGTGTTAGACAGGATGGTCTCGATCTCCTGACCTCGTGATCCATCCGCCTCGGCCTCCCAAAGTGCTGGGATTACAGGCGTGAGGCACCACGCCCGGGTAGTTCTTGTCCTTGATAAGGATATGATAGTTATTTCCTTTTTTTTTTTTTTTTTTTTTTTAAAGACCCAGTCTCGCTCTGTCGCCAGGCTAGAGTGCAGTGGTGTGATCTCCGCTCACTGCAACCTCTGGCCCCTGGGTTCAAGGGATTTTCCTGCCTCAGCCTCCAGAGTAGCTGGGACTACAGGCACGGGCCACCACGCCCAGCTAGTTTTTGTATTTTTAGTAGAGATGGGGTTTCACCATGTTGACCAGGATGGTCTCAATCTCTTGACCTTGTGATCCGCTCGCCTCGGCCTCCTAAAGTGCTGGGATCACAGGCACGAACCTCTGTGCCTGGCCTATTTCAGTTTTATAAATCTATTTTAGCCAGCAAGGTTGGGAAAAGAAAGGGTTATTTTACAATAAAGTATATTTAAATTAATTACCAATTCATTTGTTTTTTGTTTTTTAGAGGAAATAAAAGTAACCTAGATTTATTTTTGGAATTTTGCACATTAAATACTGACAGTTTGAGTAAAAATAATATTTACTGAAGGCATTATGCACAAAGATTTTATAGTTCCTGAGTATTGCTGGATAGATGAATATAAAAAGGAGTAGCTTAGAACATATAAAGGCTACAGGAAGCCTGGAGACTATTATAAAATACCTTATTAGAAGACTAGGAAAATGTATGCCTCAGATCAGAAGGACCAGGCAGACACATGAACAAAAACGCTGCATGTCTAACTAACAAAGAAAAGGGCCATCGTGTCTGTGCGTGCGCGTGTGTGTGTGTGAGAGAGAGAGAATGTATTCTATCTAGGAGCTGGTGAGGGGATTGTCTACCATCTTTTAAAAGTAAAATAAAATTGCTGATGTAAGACTTTGGAAAAGCCACAAAGTTCATCTAGGTGAAATTAAAAAAAGTGCAAAAAATATTTCATGGAACATCCTTGTAAGCACTACAAAG